GGTGAATTTGCTTTGATGTTACTTATAATAGCACAGTAAGAAACACAAGGAAGTATGAGTGTATACATCATAGATTTTAACTTCAGTGCTCCCTACAGCTTTGTTTGGATTGAAACCTACACAAGTGTGATGTGTGTGTGTGTGTGTTTTAGTGTGTGCATAAAAAGGTAACGCTCCATATTGTTACCGTTTCTTTACAATATCTGCTTATTTGATTTTTAATGAAATTTTTACAGATGACAATTTTACCTTTATTTGTTTGTTTTCTTGGAGGCATGCTTTTTTCAGTAGTATACTGGCCTATATTTCCACTACAGGACATCTTTGCTCCTGCCACACTTTGAAAGCGCCTCATTATTGGTCCTGATCTTTTAATTATTTGTGGCAGCTTATTTTGATGCAACGCTGTCACAGTTTACTCATTCAGCTAATATTAGAAATAATTCTAATATCTTGACATTGTTTGAGAGCTGAAATTAAAGGACCGGCATATGATATTATTTCAAAATGCATCAGTAGTGTGAATGAATGCAAAGGTTAAATGTAACATAACACAGGTCCTAACAGCAATCAGACTGTCAGACAGTAAAAGATCCCACTGCCCTTTATGTACATAAAAAATACATAAGAAATATATGTGATAGAGTGTATTTTAATGAATATGTATACAGTAACATTTGCATGTAGAACAAATCTATTGTATTTTGTTGACATTCTACATTTTTAGCAGTTAGGCTTTTTTTAAAAAGAAAAAAATATTGTTTATTTTTCTGATATGTCTGTTATTCCCCCCGTTTAAAAACCACAGTTATATTTTAAAGAATGACGGTGTGTAACTGTGACTTTATTTAAGCTACTGGTTTATGCTGAAAGTTTACTTTGACCAAAATCTTAACTTTCAAATAAAGTTAAGTGTTATTATTTATTTACTGTACAATAGATAATAATAATAACAACAATAACAATAATAATAACAATAACAATAATAATAACAATAATAATAATAATAATAATAACAATAATAATAATGAATATATATATATAATATATATAAAATATAAATATTCCTCATCAAAAACAGCATTTCCCATAAAAGTTAAAGCTGACCGGCTTGCACATTCTATTTCTGCAGGCGGCCACCGACCGGCTTCTCTTCTCTCTTCACGCTGGAGCATGACTTTGCACCGCGTTGACCACGTGAGCAACGCTTGGTGATCACGTGAAGGCATCCTGCAGTCTGTCTGCATGCTACTTTCTCATTCAGATGTGTGCGTACATGTCTGCGGTTTGTTTGGCGTCCACGTGAAGGCACTTTTTGGAAAACCGCGAGGTAAGAGCACGCACCGTGAGTTACCAGAGCGGCTCTGACGAAGATGCGCAGTGTTTTATTTTCCGGCCCGGAACACATTAGCTTAGCCTAGCTTAGCTTAGCGGAGCTAGCCTGTACTCTGTTCCTAAGCAAACACTGGATTGAAACCAGACTTCTAGCACTGAGTAAGTTAGCACTCGTATAACACAGGGACAATTTTAGGCTCAAACGTTTAGGTAGGGCTCAACTTCTAATGAGGAAAACATTCATTTAGTGTTACATATTGCAACTTTTACATTAATCAAATAAGAATCGTTAATGCATATATAATATATATAGTTAATACAGTGCTGTAACTACCACGAGTCGTATACCACGAGATATTTTATAAAGAAAATAAATAATGACATAAACTGCAATCGTCAGTTCGTTAGAAGGTTGACGATTGCAGGTGATTTAAACAGGTCATTTCACTTGCACCTGTTTTAGGGTGGATCCGTAAACCTGAGGGAAAGGCTCAGTCATGGTGACCAGAGCTTTCCTGAGTAAGGCGAAAACCGATTTGCTGCAAAGCACATGTGACGATAAACATGCACAACATTGTTTCAGCCTCTTAACAGAAAGACTGCCACTCCATGTACCTGTACAAGAAGCAATCTGATAATAAAGCTGCTTTTACATACAAGTTTTTGAATACAAAGACTCATTTTGTTGTAACGACTCAACAGAGGGCATTAGGCATCCCATTTCAAGTGTGCTACTGAAAAGCACACTTTTTTTGGCTTATTTCTTTCTGG